AAAAAATTCCGAAATTTTTATCATGGTCCTTAATACACTCCAGGCGTCCTATTGGGTGGTGAAACTATCCGATTTACCTTTAAATGGCCAATTTACCGGTTTACAACATGCGCTGATTTCAACTTAAGCCTACCACGAACATTAATGATAACTGACAGGGTAAAGTCGTATCCCCAAATCAAAAGTAAATACCTAATTCCTCTAACTAAAGTAGATAGGGAAGTAGGGTCGATCTCCACAGGGAAACAAGTCTTTCTATTCCTAATTAACTAAAATAATCTAGATTATGAAGTAACCAATATTTATATTTGAATAAGAAACTAAACTACGAAAATTGAGAATATGGAGAAAACAATATATAAAAGGATCTAGGGCATAGGTTCACCAATAAATAATACTCCAGGGTAAAACATAATAATCAAATCATCAATGCATAAATTAATCAGATTATAAAGGACTTTCGCTACGTATTATAATCACACAATTAATTTACCGGTATTAAATCTCATCTTTCGAATCTCGACCTAACCATTTATAAATTAACCTGCCTATTGAAACTAGACCTAAACATCAATTCTCATCTGTCGAATCTCGAATCAATATTGTTAAACTCATGCATAAAAGATCTGCGCAAATCTAGTCACAGAGCATTAAACCAATCAATAGGAAATTAATCTAGCATTGATAATTAACAACAATAAATTACCCCTTCATATTATTTATAGATCCCCATAAACCCTAGAAATAAAACTACTCACACATAATTAAAACTAAATTTATCAAGACAATTAGAGGAGACATGATCAAAGAAAGAGAATAAATTACTGAAATCAAACCAAGAGTTATATAGAGAGAAAATAATACTAAGAGTTTAAGAGGAGAGAGAAAAGAGTTAGAGAGAGAAAGTCTCAGAAAAATTAAGAAAGAGTAAAAAGAAGGTAAAGAAGTTACTAAATTCGTTCTACGGAGAAGTATTTATACTCCGTAAGAATCCTAAACTAAAACAAACTTAAACGACGCTAATCGTCTCCTAACAATAACACGCGCCCGAACGGGCGCGCCTTCGGGCGCCAGCTTTTTTGGCCGGGCGGCTCTCTTGGGCCACTATTTGGACTACGATTGGGCTCCAATTCTTCGGACCAATCTGGGTTTCCTCTTCGGGTCTTGAATACTCGATCCAAATGCCCTGGTATCACACATACCAAGCCCTTAATCACCGGTTCGATGGCTCTAACCGGCCCTGGGCTATAAAATCTGGTCGTGTTTCTCCAATGTTCGTGATTGCTCCAAAATATCTCGGGAAAATACTCCAAAAGTATAAATCCCTGCAAAAGTCAACCAAATCTACGAAAACACTAGAAAACACCAATTAGTAATAAAAGTGGCTCTAAAGAGCCAAAAACACTACTAACTATGACCAAGGGACGGGGGTAAATTACTATATAAAATAGACACATCAATAACATATATGATAATATATGGTTTCAAACGGAATTATATGACCCCGAGATGTATTCCCTTGAATTATAATACCTTTCGACACCGGATCTCAAAACCTCCAAAATTTCACAAAATGCGTGGATACTAGACTTCAATTTTGGAATTTTTTTTACTTCTATTTTCCCAGAAATAATAATTGTCGTAATATTTACAATGGTCCTAATATCCTTCGGGAGTACACTTGGTTGGGTGGAACCATCCAATTTGCCTTTAAACGTGGATATTAGCTTTTAATTTTGGAGTATTTGGACTTTTTTTTTGCCTAGAAATAATAATTGCCAAAACGTTTACCATGGTCACTTACACCCTTCGGGAGTCCAATTGGGTGGGTGGAACCATCCAATTTGACTTTAAACGACCAATTTAATTACCGATTTGAATTTTTTTTATTTTTTTCGCCCGAAAATAAAAATTGCCAAAGTGTTTACCATGGTCCCTAATATCCTCCGGGAGTCCAATTGGATAGGTGGAATCATCCAATTAGCCTTAAACGACCAATTTACTGGTTTACAACTTGTAACGATTTCATTAATTCAAGCCTACCACGAATATTTATGATAGAAAATAATGATCATATATGGTTCCAAACGGCATTATATAATCCCAAGATTTATCCCATAGAATTTCAAGACTTTTCGACACTGGACCCAGAAACCTGGAAAATTTCTCAAAAAACGTGGATATTAGCCTTTAATTTTGGAATTATTTGATTTTTTTAGCCTGGGAATAAAAATTGACTAAATGTTTACCATGATCCCTAATACCTTTCGGGAGTCCAATTGGGTGTGCGGAACCAATTGATTTGCTTTTAAACGGCCAATTTATCGGTTTACAACGGCCAATTTAATTAACTTGCACCGAACCCGACTTGAACCGAAATTGATCCAAACCCGTTTTAACCCGTCAAAACCCAAATTTAACCTCACTTGTTACTAACCTGACCTGAATTCAACCCGACCCGTTCCTAACCCGACCCGAATTTAGTCCAACCTATTACAAACCCGATTTAGACCACCTTATTATTGTTGATCGAAACATTTTGTCTTGGGAGACCAAGTTTGTCCAGACCAGCAAAAGAAAGGAACATAATCCTCAAATTTAAGAGTTAAATATAGTATATGTTTGTTGTATGGTCAAAGGAGATAATTATCTTCCTAAATTATAAACTATAGTTCCCTAGTATATAGCCATATATATTATAGTCAAAGGAAATAATTAGCTTGATAAAAATGATAATTATATTATTATAGTTAGTTAAAACCGAATATGACTTGACTTGGAAATGACCCGACCTGATTGTAACATGCAAATTATTGACTTTAACATAACCCGACTTGAATCTGAGAATGACCCGACTTGAAAATGATTCAACTTGATTATAACCCACAAATTATTGACTTAAACCCGAGAATGACCCGACTTGAAATTGACCCAACCTAATTATAATCCGCAAATTATTGACTTGAACCGAACCCAAATCAAACCCGAGAATGACCCAGCCTGATTCTAACCTGCAAATTATTGACGTGAACCGAACCCGAGAATTACCCTCACCCGTGAAAACTCGAATTAAATCCGACCTATTGTTCACCCAACCTAAATGTAACCTGACCTAAACCCGACCCAAACCCGATAAGAAGTATGACCTGACGTGACCCGACTCAAGCATGACCCAACCCAAACCCGACCTGCATAGGTTATGGAATTAATCTGAAATGACCTGACCCGAGTTAACCCAACCCACTCTTACCCGACCCGTTTACCCGAATTGACAGCTCTACTATTTTTAGCCAAAAGAAGTCAAAGTGACTTATATGGATGGCGCCCGTAATTAACATGTGTCAATTGAAAAGAAACATAGAAATACTATGTTAAGTTAGGGAAAAAAAGGTATAAAAATAAACTAGATTGACGTTTGGCTTAAAAATTACTCTCACGTGTAAAATACATCCTCTTAAATTACAATGAATTTGCCCAACAAGAATTTCACAATCTATATTTGTAAAACATAGGGTCTGTTCAGCTCAGCTCCAATCAGATCAGTTCAGTTCCTAATTTCCTTCTCTCATAAAATATTCAATTCAGCTTATATGAACGATGGAGCATTTCTGTTGTCTCAAAAAGAGGTTCTTGTATAGACTTGTGCTATGTTCTTGTATATTGTATTACCTCCTTTTATTAGACACTTTTTTTTTTTTATTACATATGCTTGCTAACACACTATTTGAACGATTAATATCTCTAACTATTGATATTGTAAAATTATTATAAAAAAAAAAGATATTAATGAAATATAGATTAAGAAGATTTAAATTAGATCCCACATGACAATATTTTTTATCTTAGCTATAAATTACAAAAGTAGTCAATATAAAATTTGTAACTAGTGCAAAAGTGAAATGGTGTTAATTAAAAAAAAATGTATATATTAAAGTTTTTTTTTTTTGTCAATTTTTTCAAATTTTGACCATATAAGTTAAATAAGAACAATACTTTGGGACGGATGAAGATCCTTTTTGTTCATAATATTGTAGTTTTAAAAAGTGATAATATGATAATACTTAATCCCCATTATTTAGTTTTTGAAAAATATAATAAGTAAATATAAAGTCTTATAACACAGATGCGCTCGTGGCCTAATGGATAAGGCATTTGACTTCTAATCAAAGGATTGTGGGTTCGAGTCCCACCGAGCGTGCTATATATTAATTTTTTTTTTAACCTAAATATTAAATTATTAACCTAATACAAGTACTTAATATGTTTATAGTCTATCTATAATACTTTGTTTTATCTTTCTAACTACACGGATGTTTTATCTTTTCTAACTACACGGACTCGATGAGACTTCTTTTATAGTACATCGCTAACAATATTTTTAATTTTCTATATAACTTAGAAGTATGACACTTTAAAAATGATGTTTTTTGTAGACGCTCCTAAGTAGTACATTGCTATAAAGAATGCTATATGTAATGCAAATCCGAGTTCTAAGCATAAACAATCATGGAGTTACAAGTAAAGCACATGACCTTGCACGAGGCCAAACATGTATGCGTTGCCTAGAAGCTTAGTCTGGTGCCAATTTCAGAAAACCTCAGCCTAAGCAAGAATTGGTGCATACCCAATTGACCACCTCACCGCCCCTCTTAATGTGGGCATCATACCAATGCCTAATATATCTTTCATTCCCGCATTTAGACCACTCCAACCTCTTTCTACTCACCTTGTTGACCCAAACAATTATTATTTCATTCATAATTAATTAAGTGCTTATTACTCCTAATTTCCTGTAAATCATCAACTAATATTGACCAATACTGTATATCATAACACACTAAACGAGGGAATTGAAGATGCTCATCATAATCTATATGTATTGAGATTATAATTAAAACCAGCAACGGAACCAATCTCTTACATTAGCACGGGCACAAACTAGTTAATCCGTAAAGCCAAAACAGAGCGGTAACTAAGGAGAAGCAAGAATTAAACAAGAGAGGGTCCGCAACTGGGCATTCATTATTCCCAGCTGTCCCTTCCCATGTGACTCCTCCCCTCCCCTCATTACATTTCATCCTTTCATAACTTCTCACTTATCACTTCCAACCTCACTCACTCTCTTTCTCTCTCCTCCAAACCCCCCAAAAAACCCCAAAAATGTCGTCATCTTCCTCAAAACTCCTCCTAATTTTTTCTCTCCTCTTCATAATCTCCTACATTACACTCCATGTAGAAGCTCAGATCCACGACATTGGATTCGACTGGGCTTCTTCTTCCGCAATGTCGTCGGCAATGATGTATTCATCAGGAGGAGAAGAGCTCGACCTCGATCTCGAAGTTGATCTTGATGATGTTGATGTTGAAAGTAGGAGATCTCTTTATTGGAAGAGGAAGGTGTACTATATATCATATGGTGCACTCTCAGCGAATCGCGTCCCTTGTCCACCTCGCTCTGGTAGGTCTTACTACACTCACAACTGCTTCGCTGCTCATGGCCCTGCTAATCCTTACTCTCGTGGTTGCTCTTGCATCACTCGCTGCCGCCGTTAATTAATTCGTCATTAAGATTATTAAGTACTTGATCATTATGATGATTTTGTGTTTATTTTAATTAATTATAAATTAGGGGTTTAATTTGTTTGTTTAATGCTTATGGTTTATTTGGAAAGGTTGTGTCCTTTTCTTTTTATCTCTGGTCGTAAAGTCTCTTTCGTGTGATTATTGTTGTAAGTGTTGAGCTGGGTGTGGGGTCCTCATTTTACTGGTTGAGGATTGGCTGAAAAAGTTGTATTAATACTTGTATTATTATTTCACAAGTATGGTTGAAAAGAAGAGAAAAAAAAATAGTAGTACTAAGCATTGTAATAATGTTGTGTAAACTTTTGTGTTACATTTTGATGGAATAATGTCAATCTTATCCGGTGAGTAGATTACTCATCTATTGTATTATCGGACAACTAGACCTTTTAATAGAGCAAAAGGGAGGGTATCGGAGTTTTGGAATAGAAGTTTACAATAATGTACAGTAGAATAAAGTATGCAATTGGATGTAATCTAATGGGTTCTATTGATTAATTTATGTTATGGAGTACTACGTATCAGATTGTGGTATCAATGTATCACGCGGACTTTTATAATGACGGTGCTTAATTAATTGCATTAACAAAGAGAGTGAAGATTCTTATTGGAATACTCCATCATTAGAGGATTACTAGTGTAAGATTGAATTTTAAAGCACCGATTTGAACACAGAGAAATACAAAAGGTCATAATTATAATACTTGAATCACGTTATTGAAAATTTTGCATAATGTGTGTGATTCCTTTAGGCATTATAAAAGGTTGATAGGAAAGCCAAAAGAGATCAACAAATAGTTTACAATAATACGATCCAGAGGTAGTATTTTGTATTTGATGACTTGAATTGAAAGGAGTTTGCATTATTCGAATATCAATTGATGATTGTACTCCTTTTGTCTTGCTAAAATTGCCCCGTTTGACAATAGATAAAAACAGGCATTGAAAAAACTTAGAAAATCTATTGATATCGAATACTAATCAGGTTGGACAAAACCTCCACAAGTAGGCTTGAGCTTGAAAGTCAACTTACTAATCAAATTATTCAAACCTAACATGGGTTTGGAATGGTCCAATGGATCAATTATATAGTCATGCCTAGACCTGGTTATTGGGTGGGTCTGGTCAGGGTCGGTTGCGGGTCAGGGTCAAAGAGGGTCACATTTTACAGGGTCAATATAGGGTCGGGCCAACGCGGGTCGCTGGTCAATAATGGGCAGGCCTACAAGATATCAATTAAAATAAATATTGGATAAAGCCATTATTAAATACATATGAATACAAATTAATCTATACAATTATTTTTACATTATGTATTTTCTGTATCAACTAAATTGGAAAAAACATGTTGGCCCTATATTGACCCTACCCAATAAGGGCCCTATCCATTAATAACCCTATCCAATTAGCTTGGCCCTGACCCTCTTATCATTGGACTACCCTGTCCAATAACCACCTCTAGTCATGCCAGAGAGTAGAAAGGCAATTGAAAAAGAAAGCCCATGTTACAAATGATTGGACCTTTGTTTTCGGTCCATTTTCTAAATTAACATGGACCTCAACGTGCAGCTATTCATACAAAGTAGTAGTATAAGATAGGCCCAAAAGTTGGTAATCTTATATTCTTATGAAACATCAAACATGTTATAGTTATAGACCTTATACTCTCTAATCTCAGGTTCATAAAATCAATGTGATATATCTGTGCTATTTAGATGATTAAAATGAAAGTTAACTGGATTTTAACTACATAAACTTGATGAAATTTTGCCAAAATGTAGAACATCAATTGTTGCGATTCTCTCCAATAACAAGACACGAGTTACATCTCATTCATCTCTAGGCTAGAATTTTTTTATCAATACAATATACTACGTAGTACTCAAGAAATTCTCTATTATATCAGCTATTTCAAGCTGGAATTTTTCAACCGAGTACTTTTTTATTACAGTAATATTTACCCAATGAATTGATGTTGGCATTACATGAAAAATGAGTGCCTTCACCAACTTTGGTATCCCTTCAATTACGTTAGTTCTGTCTAAGTCTAAGAGTTAGCACTTCCGACAAATTTCAAGGCCCAGTCCTTTACTCCCCTTCCAATTTCCAATTTCCAATTTCCAAATTCCAATATCCAACCACGTATCACCTACTGCCTTTAAACTTACACCTTCTATCCAAACTTGTAACCAACGATTGATATGAACAAATTTAACCATGCATGTCTAATTACCCATTATCATGAATTATAACCATACATGGAGTAATAATGATATTTTAGCCTAGTAACAACGACTAAAGCCTAATATAAAATGCCATTATATCATATTATACGAAGTATATTCTTAAATTTGTACTTCCTCAATTATAATTTATCGCGTATTGTGTACATATGTTATTGTAGCTTAATTAGACTTAAAAAAAACACATAACAAATTTAACAAACTAATCAATTAAAACACATTATAAGAAAATTTATTAAGGTAGTAGTATATATGAGAGTTATTAAAATGATAAATCGATCTCAAAATATAAAATAAATCTAATTAATCAAGTCGGAAGTTGGTTTAGGAGGGGGGCAAAAAGGCCTACCAAGACGAGCCTTATGACTGGGAATAGTAAAATGCCTTAACCTTCCTTCTTGTTCTACCATATACCCTTGACACAAAAACTCCATTGAGAATTTATCCTCTACAACACGATCCACATCATGAACAAACACATCAGTTTCACCTTCTTCCCTATTCCTCCCCATCAAACCCGCGGTATAAATCGCGCTCATTCTACCGGGCGCCTCATCGTGGTACCCTGTGGGCGCATCCACCATAATCAAATCCCACTCTACTTCGTATATCTCTTTTGGCAAACCCTTCAATGCTAAGTTACACCTACTTTCCCTAGGATCGACCACACTCGAACATTCCTTCGCCTCCTTTGCTGACGTCATTAGTGTCTCGGAGTGACGTACTTTGGTGTCATACGTGGCGAGGTAGGATTCGAGGGTTGGGAATTTCTCCTTGATTTGACGGATCCACCCCTCGTTTTCCTCCAAAAAGACGGTTCTACCCCCGTGGTTTAATGAGGCCCACATTGGGCTGTCGTAGCCCAGCCCAAACACGAGGAAATTTGACGGGGATTTGCGACGGAGGACGCGGTCGGTGACGGAGATTTCTTTGGCGGTTTGTTGGGGAGTTATGTTGGATGTTGCGTAGTGGATGATTGCGTCGGATAATGATGGTGGGATTTTGGTACAACTTAAAGGGCATTTCTGGGATTTCACGTACGAAATTAAGGTTTGATTGGTGGAGTTATCTGATGAAGAAGAGAAAGATGAACGTACAGTTAGAAAAACTAAGCAAAAGAATAGAAAACAGAAGATTGTTAACTTCAATTTTGTTGGAGATAGAATATTTGAATTAATTGTTGAGTTTGAGCCTCTCATTTTTGTAATTAATAGATTTGAGTGAGAATGAATTGGGAAAAAATTGAGAGGAAATGTGGAGTAAAATTTGAAATTAATTTGGGATTGTTGAAAATGAGAGGGGTTTTGTTTATATGTATAAAAAAAGAGAGGGAGGGGGGGAGGGGGGGGGGTGTTTGGTGACTCGAGAAAGTGATAGAGAGAACAGAGAAGACTGTTGCTGTTGTGAGCAGGAATTGAGGAGTTGATCATTTTCTGGGGTGGACCCTTGTCTTTTCTATGTTTTACGTTACTTAATCGTAACTTTTCCTTGTTCAATGTTGTTATTACACTTTATTAGGTCCCAAACTAATCCAAGTAATTTAGTATACTTCTATTAAAACAGTTATATTTAAGGACATCAAGGTCAAACTTTATACGACTTAGAGTATGTTCACATTTACTGAATTGAGCTGATTAAATTGATTGGAGCTAAACTGAACTGAACTGAGTTGAAATGAATATTTTATGAGAGAAAGAAATTAGGTTTTGAACTAAACTAAATTAAAATTAAGCTGAAGTAAATAGGCCCTTAAGTTTTAAATTTTAACTTATAATTAAAAAAAAAAAAAAAAAAAAAAAAACATACTTTAAATACCGAGTTGGCTAATTTGTATCTTAATAGAAGCATATTACACAGTACTCTAGTAGTATATGACTTGATTTATGAAACATGACATTAATAATCTAGTTTGTTTATAGACAGAGTAACTTATTTATGTGCTTTGTTATCTTCTAAATAAAGGCGATTACATGTGACTTTACTCATAGAATTTTTTACTCTAATTTTTGAAAGTACATTGATCATCAAGGTCATGATCAGCAGATCAGATTACCAACCACTTAAAAGCATCTTTAGGTAAAATCACTCAGACACAAAAGTGACAATGATCTAAGATACTATGAGTAACGTGCGTCACTAATTGCGGGTAAATTTTCTAGTAATAATGATATTATTACCTTATATTCTTTAATTTTCTATTTCTTTACTCACTATCTATATATGAAATGATTCTCTCAAAAAAAAAAAATCTATATATGAAATGATGGATGCGAAAAATAAATAAATTAAATTCACAGTTATACATCATTAAAATTACAATAAGAATTTGTCAACAAAAAAATTACAATAAGGGAAAAAAAAAATTAAAGGGGCCGGGTAAGATTTATTTGTTCTTCGTAATCTTAAATATTGCACAATCAAGATGATTCTGTTTGATCTATTGATTATTATGTATTCATAAAATTTGTGTGATCTGATCTTAATTCAATCTCTAATGTTATATCAAAAACCACATGAAATTTATCAAAAAAAAAAAAAAAAATCACATGAAATTATTAGAATCAGGTATCCATAATAAATTCAAACATATTAATGGAGCTTCAATTTTGAATAAGAACTAAGAATTTGTTCGGTTTATCTTATTTATTTTTACTTTCATAAGCATTATAAGTTCATAACATAATAAGTTTGATTAGGTTTAAGAAGAAAAAAAAATATTACCTCCGTTTCATATTATTTGCAATGATTAGATATTTTTTTCTCTCTACATTATATGACCCCGAGATTTATTCCCTAAAATCTCAAATCTTTTTGACACCGGTTCACGAAACTTCCAAATTTTCTCAAAAAACGTGGATATTAATCTTCAATTTTGGAATTTTTTGACTTTTTTTCGCCCAGAAATAAAAATTGTCGAAACGTTAATCACGGTGCTTAATATCCAATTTGCCTTTAAACGACCAATTTATCGGTTTACAACTTGCACTGATTTCATTAACTCAAACCTAACACGAACATTTATGACAACATATAATGATCATTTATGGTTTCAAACGACATTATATGACCCCGATATGTATCCCCAAAATCTCATTTATTTTCGACACTGGGTTCCGAAACTTCGAAAATTCTCAAAAAGCATGGATATTAGCCTTCAATTTTAAAATTTTTTGACCTTTTTTTCGCCCGGAAATAAAAATTGCCGTAATATTTAACATGGTCCCTAATACCCTCCGGGAGTCCAATTGGGTGGGTGGAACCATCCTATTTGCCTTTAAACGACCAATTTACCAGTTTATAACTTGCATCGATTTAACTCAAGTCTACCACGAATTTTTATGACAACAAATAATGATCATATATGATTCCAAACGGCATTATATGACCCCGAGATATATCCCCTAAAATTTCAAGACATTTCAACGCCGGGCCCTGAAACCTCTAAAATTTCTCAAAAAGTGTGGATATTAGCCTTTAATTTTGGAATTTTTTGACTTTTTCGCCCAAAAATAAAAATTGCCGAAATGTTTACCATGGTTCTTAATATCCTCCCGGAGTCCAATTGGCTAGGTGGAACCATCTAATTTTCCTTTAAACGGTCAATTTACCGATTTACAACTTGAAACGATTTCATAAACTCAAGTCTACCACGAACATTTATGACAACATATAATGATCATATATGGTTCCAAACGGAATTATATGACCCCGAGATGTATTCCCTAGAATTTCAAGACTTTTCGACACCGAGCCCCGAAACCTTCAAAATTTTGAAAAATGCGTGGATATTAGTCTTCAATTTCAGAATTTTTGACTTTTTTCGCTCGTAAATAAAAAAATTACCAAAATATTTATCATGCTCCCTAATATCCTCCGGGAGTCCAATTGAGTGGGTGGAACCATTCAATTTACCATTAAACGGCCAATTTACCAGTTTACAACTTCTTCGATTCCATTAACTCAAGCCTACCACGAACATTTATGACAACATATAATTATCATATATGCATATGGTTCCAAATGGCATAATATGACCTGGAGATGTATCCCCCAAAATCTCAAGACTTTTGAACACCGGACCCCGAAACCTCCTAAATATCTCAAAAAACATGGATATTAGCCTTTAGTTTTAGAATTTTTAGACTTTTTTTTTCGCCCATTAAAATGTTGACCATGTTCCCTAATACCCTTTAGGAGTCCAAATGGGAGGGTGGTACCATCCAATTTGCCTTTAAACAACCAATTTATCGGATTACAACTTGCACCGATTTTATTAATTCAAGTTTACCACGAACATTTATGAAAACACATATTGATCATGTATGGTTTCAAAGGCATTATATGAGCCCGAGATTTATCCTCTAAAATCTCAAAGTTTTTCGACACCAACACCGGGCTCCGAAATCTCCAAAAAAATTTAAAAAGCATGGATATCAACCTTCAATTAAAGAATTTTTGTCTCTATTCGTCCGAAAATAAGTTGCCGAAATATTTACCATGGTCCCTAATATCCTCCCGGAGTTCAATTGGGTGGGTGAAACCATCTAATTTGCCTTTAAAGGACCAAATTACCGGTTTACAACTTGAAACGATTTCAAAAACTGAAGCCTACCATGAATATTTATGACAACATATAATGATCATATATGGTTCCAAACGGCATTATATGACCCCGAGACGTATTGCCTAGAATTCCAAGACTTTTCGACACCGATCTCCGAAACCTTCAAAATTTCGCAAAATGCGTGGATAATTAGCCTTCAATTTCGGAATTTTTTTGATTTTTTTCGCTCATAAATAAAAATTGCCAAAATATTTACCATGGTCCCTAATACCCTCCCGGAGTCCAATTGGGTGGGTGGAACCATTCAATTTGCCATTAACCATCCAATTTACAGGTTTACAACATCTTCGATTCCATCAACTCAAGCCTACCATGAACATTTATGACAACATATAATGATCATATATGGCTCCAAACGGCATAATATGACCCCAAAATGTATTACCTAAAATCTCATGTTGTTTCGAAATCGGGCCCCACAACCTCCAAAATTTCTCAAAAAACGTGGATATTACCTTCAATTTTGGAATTTTTTAACTTTTTTCGCCCGTAAATAAAATTGCCAAAATGTTTACCATGTTCCCTGATACCTTTTGTGAGTCCAATTGGGTGTGTGGAACCATTCAATTTTCCTTTAAACAACCAATTTATTAGATTACAACTTGCACCGATTTTATTAATTCAAGTTTATCACGAACATTTATGAAAACACATAATGATCATATATAGTTTCAAAAGGGCATTATATGACCCCGAGATATATCCTCTAAAATATCGAAGATTTTCGACATCGACACCGGGCCCTGAAATCTCCAAAATTTCTTAAAAAACGTGGATATTAGCCTTCAATTTTGGAATTTTTGTCTTTTTTCGCCCGGAAATAAAATTTGCCGAAATATTTACCATGGTCCCTAATATCCTGCCAGAGTCCAATTTGGTGGGTGGAACCTTCTAATTTGCCTTTAAACGCCCAATTTACCGGTTTACAACTTGAAACGATTTCATAAACTCTAGCTTACCACGAACATTTATGACAACATATAATGATCATATATGGTTCCAAACGATATTATATGACCTAGAGAAGTATTCCTTAGAATTTTGAGACTTTTAGTCCCCGAATATTCTAAAATTTACAATTTACAAGGCTGGCCCTTGGGCCTACCCTCAACCAAGAATTGATGAATGAGCCTCTTTTTGTCCGATATTAGGGCCCATATTACATCAAACCTCGATAAGCTTGCTGAGACTGCCTTATTAGGACCACAAAACACCGCAATTATTTTTAGAATAAATATTGATTTAAATTTCATGGCCCAGACTTTAATGAATTTTTGGGCTTAACCCGTAAAAAGATTTTTTACTGTAAAAAATATTTGATTTGTTTTATATGAGCACGGCAATCCATTATCAAATGATTTTCTCTTCCATATGCCCAACCACCTAAATAACCACCTAAATACTTTTACACTTTAAAGTACACTATCAATTTCATTCACATAAGCTCTTTAAATAGTTTATTTACCCTCATACTATTCCGAAATGAATATAATCACTCCCTTATGAACTAACTAAATAACGATATGTTACATTTCATCTGAGGTGAAGTGGTAAAAAATTCACAGTGGGGATAAATGTATCCAATTTACATGAACATTTTTGTTGGTGGTTCATACTATGGTCACATACTTCCTCCCCTTCTGAAAACATACTTTTCGGACATAATCCTCTAGTATATTGCATGTGCCAATAGAAACACCATACTAGTTATGTAAAAAATCAATACTATTACCTCCGGTTTATATTACTCGCAAAAAAGAAATATTTTATGTCTCACAAATAATACAACTTTATTACGAGTAATAAAT